GCCCCATGCCTCTATTCTGGGTATGGTAATATGGAGAAATTCTGAATACTTATCTTTCTTTGAGAAGGTAGGATAGCTAGTTCTCAGAAGGTTCTCAGTCTGGAGGTCTGGGCTTCCAGCTCCCATTGAACTGAATTGCACTGTTCCAACCATCATCCTCTTCCCAGCATATCACTGATTAATGCAATTTCACTCCAGCAAGATAACCAATTATTGAACATCAGATATGCAGAGGGATTCTTACCTTATCATTGTAGTAGCCAGAGACTCCCAATTTGCAGCCATCCAAATTTACAGGGATTCCTTGGACATTCATGACACAACACTGGCGTGGCCAAGGGAATTCTGAATCACTGTTAATGTTTCTGAACTTGGACATGTAGTTCTGCCAGTCAGACGGGCCATTCACACCACAGCACTCATGCTGGATTTGAGAGAGAGGGAAGTTCTTTGTAAAGACAAGGCTGTGGTATTATACAGGATCTGGGACCCACTCCCAATATTCCACAAAATTGATGCCATCCTATGGGTACTAGCTCACATCACAGGAGATAAATGCATTTGTGGGTGTGGGAATGTAGAGCACTGGCCAGTACTGGAGATACTAAAAGCATTATCTTGGGGACCAGCAAGATTGAAAGGCTGGAGGGATGAGAAAAGACTTCATTTGAGACCGATCCAATTTCAGTCCATACTGACCTAATGTTACTGAAAAGGCTTAGGGCGGTGGCTTTTAACCTCTCTCATTTGCAGACCCCTAAAAAAATTCAAATGGAGGTGTGGACCCCTCTGAATTGCAAGTGTGGGTATTCACATACTTGATTGATCATAGTCATCTTTTGTGGAGCCCTTACACATAGTCTGTGGAACTCTAGAGGTCTGCAGAACACAGGTTGAAGAAAAAAAAAATTAAATCAAATTACTGGTCTAGGGGGTAGGTGTGAAATTCTAGAGACACAAGGAGCTTGGATACCGTCTTTCATTGTGAGCTGTTTTTATTTGTTTTTTGTTTAATTAATTTTTTTTTTTTTTAATTACCTGAAGCATGAGGCGGTCCCATGTCCTGGTGACCCCTTCACTCATCCACTTGTCATCATTGTTGAGTGGCTCTGGGTTCTGATACTTCTCCAGCATTTGCTTCAGGAAGAGATTGCGAGTGAACTATAATATAAAAAACAGGGCAGGGTGCATACACCTTGTTAGGAGGTTCAGAAAAAGAGGGTTGGGGGGTCTGCCCCATTGGAAGCGAGCCACACAGTGTTTGGGGACCAACAAGTCTTCCTAACTTCTAGCATTAGATTGGATTTAAAACACAAAATAAAGTTAAATAAATCTGGCATAACCTCGACAGATCCTGAAGTCTAGCTTTTGAATGCTGTCAAGAGAAATTTCTTGAGAGAAGGCAGAGACAGATAATTTGTTGTGATTAATTCCAATGTAGAAGTTAACATAGGCAGTCTTTTCCCCTGCCATCAGTTGTGAGAACCCAGTTTTATCCACCCCCCACCCACATCAAGTCATGTCTTCCCTCTGCCCTCTACAACAGCACTGTCAATCTGTGTCTGAAAAATGTCATATGAAAGGCTCCATTAGCATTCGATCTGAACATGCATGAATAGAGCACCACATTTCCTGGATTGGAGGGATGGTATAAACACTCTAGAGACTGTACCATCCTTCCATTGGTTCGGCCCTTACTAAAGTAACTAGCCCTCCTCGGGTTTCCTTTTCTTCTGCCTGGAACATGTACAGAAGTACCAGAAGCTGTTAACGCTACCCCTCCACCCCTTTCAACTTGCACTCTCTAGCAAGAATATGCATGGGGAAACAGATACTCACAAAGTCTCGATGAGTTGCTGCTGTGATGCAAGAGGCCGTCTCAAAGGCATATGTGATCAACATCAGGATGATATACTGGGAGACAGCAAGAGTAGAAGGTACTGTTATCTCTCAGACCCAAGTTACTAGGAAGCAAGTCAAGGGATTGGCAGACTCCCCCAGGGCCAAGTCCAATCCCCTGCTGAATATCCCAAGCTCAATAAGAGAAGGTTCTGTCCTTATGACTCCAGTTTCAGGGGGAAGGGGGGGGGGAGGGCAACAGTATCAGGACATCCTGCTACAGTTCTAGAGGTGGCAGTTGAAACCTTACTCCATGCTCCTACCAAAGGTTACCTAAGCTGACCCACCTGAAAATAGGGCTCAGGTCATTTAAGCTGGACACTCAAAAGGCAGGACCTGATGCTGGCCACAGGATTCCCTTATGTGCCATTGGATGCAGAAACTGGTGGGCCTTAACCAGGGTATCAAATAGGCTTCTAATTCTAAGCAACTAGGACTCTGTTTGGGACAACCTTCTAATGACCACCACTCTGAAGATTAGGGGTTTTCAGTTCATTCATGGCCCTTTTGTTCTTGTGCCAGCCTTAGGCTGGAGGACAGAACTCATTCTCTTTTCTGGTGTTTACCCCCAAGACAGCAGTCAGATCCCCTTCTAGCCCATGAGTTTGCCACACTAATCAAGTACTGCTTTAGCCTCCTCTTACGATAAGCTCATTATCCCCCAATCATCCTAGCAACCTCTTCCGTTTCCCTCTCTTCAAACATGGGTGACCAGATCTGCACACAGCATTCCAAAAAGGATCTCACCCCTTTGGGTAATCTTACCATGGCATTAGTGATTCACCATTGTCCTGGAATAGGAAATGATCCTTTCTTGGAGGGGTTTGCCAGAGCTTCTGGACTGCCTTCCCTCAGTGCAGATACAGCTCCACTTTTTTCCTCTCTGTTCAGCTTTTGAACAAATTTGTTCAAAGGTCCCATTGATTAATAATCTGATCAGCACTACCTGAGAATACTAGTCCATGGCTAGTCTAATAGTTCCAAAGCACCTGCCCTCCAAAGCCACTGGTTGGGAAAAGGTTCCTTTAAAGTCACATTGACTAGCTGCTATAAAGGAACCGGGTCATTATTTTATGACATCCAATGGAAATTAAGGACATGAGCACTCACTAGGAGTTTACACTAAATGACCATGCCATGTCAATTCTATTTCTCTAGGACCACGTGAAGCATTTGCACCACATCTTGCAACATGCTGGCATACCAGAAATTAAGGAACAAGGGGCAACCCCACTGTCCAAGAACATGGTCCAGACAGCTGCAAAGCTGCCACAGGATTTTGCATGCAGTGCCTAGAGGTGGGGGAAGGTTGTCCCACCCACTAGATCTTCATCTAACTCCAGTAAAGCTGAGGTAGAGGAGAAGTGGGGAGTCCCTTTGGATGTGGGCACCTCCCCATCGTCAACACCACAGTCATAATAAGAAGTTTCCCTCTTTTGCCCTTTTGGTAGATTGTGGATTTGGTGCCATGGAATCCATCATGGAACCCCTGACCAAGAACTGAATGGAGAAGTGTGCCACTTGTTGGCAGATGAGTCTCTCACTTGCCTCCCATCTCCTGGTACGGATTCCTTTCTTCCCTCTCACAGCCTAGGATTGCTAACAGCCCCAGGAAGGGGTAGCCTTTGAGTTATAATTGTCAAGGCTATCAGTGACTGAAGGCCAGGCCTTTAATTGCTTTTTATTCATTCATTCAATTTATGTCATCCTTCCCAGTGAAGACTCAGAGCAGCTCACAATAAGAGGAAAAAAAACCCTGATAGAACAGGAGAGCAACAAAAGAACAAAACCTTTTAAAAGGTTATTAGAATACCTACCAAAAAAGAAAGAAGGGGAACAAAAAAATGAAAGATTCCTCCCCAACCAAATTATCTCAATCTAGCTTTGTTTGCTAAATGCATGCACATATAGGAAGGTCTTACTGTAGGCTCAGGCTAGCAGCTAGAAGATTTAGAGAACACCATATCACACCACTTACCGCCAGTAGCATTGCCCTATTTGACTTAATGACTCCAACGATACCAAGAACAGCCAGATTGAAGAGAGCAAAGCCAACAAATATGCCAATCCAGGCGGCACCATAGATGTCATCATTGTTTGTGGCTTCCAACAGAGGGTACAGAGTCTGCTGATCCGACACAAAGAAGATGCACTCTGCTGTCAATGCAATGCCGCACAACTGAGAACCAGAAATCAGAATCCCATTAGTTCAGGCCAGACCAGCTCAGAAGCCATACCACAACCGCTTCCAAGGAGAGCCTTTTTCAATCCCTGCCTCTTACGAGCACAGGTTTAATCATACTGGACTTAGAGACAGGTCTATATTATTCCAGCTGCATGTCTACCAGCATGGCCCCAAGGAAGCTCAGCCTCCTCCTTCAGATATTCAACTTGGTATACTGGAAGCTCTGAAGTCATCCCCAGGGACTACTTGCAAGCACCTTAGAGACCCAGTCTCAAGTGGACATTCTCCCCTTGCAGTGACCTCACCAGCAAACTTCCAGGTTTAGAACGTGTGTGCGAACAATGTGTAGGGCTTGCTTAGGGCTGTCCACCTGGAATCTACTACAGCTGCAATGGAAACATGCCAGAAGTGCTCTCCTATCCCAGACCCCTGTTCCCACAAGTCTTTGGACACTGAGTGTGCATTTTGGATTGGAACAGTTACACTGACGATTTTTTTTTTTTTTTTTTTTTTTTTTTTTAAGGGAAGGCATCTGTCTGGAAAGCAAAGGGATCAGGCTTAAACAGAATACATGTTTAAGCCTATTCTACTAGACAGGGTACTTGAGCCTTTGCTTCCTCCACAGGTCATATTATCCTCTCTTCCATGAAATATCCATCTGAAACCATTTGCTCACATGGTCTGTTCAGGTTTCTCTGATGTAGTGTTACATTTATCCTTCTTACATTACAAGGTTCATATAAAGAATGAGTCCATTGCTGGGATTTGCCTTGTAAAAAGAGGAACTGCTCTGGAGAACCCTCATACATCATCACTGTCCCTTACAGCCCTGAGCCACTTACCCCAATAATCACGTTGCCTAGAACTAGCAGACCTTGAAAACAGCGCACACCATTATCGCCTTTTGCCATCTTCAACACTTCATGCAACCTGGAGGGGGAAAAATAATAGCATTCAGAACAAGTCCAACAGGTTTAGACTAGAAAAAGAAATGATCCGGGGTGGGGGTGTAAAAAGAGACATCAAGGAGAACCAGCCAGGATGCCATCAACCTCCACTTATTTCCTTGCCCTGCCTTGGCGTTATAGGAAGTATTCAGGCAGCAGACTAAATAAAACTATATAATGCAACCCTTCCATGTTGGGTCCAAGTAAATGTTTACCTAGACTAACAGCAGCAAGTGGCAGAGCAATCCAAGCTTCTTATCCCCAGCTCACAGGGAGTTCACCAGCATTTTGTGGGTTGCTGGTGGCTTGAGCTTAATTTAGAATGAGATTTCCATCATTAACAAGGTACCAGCAACATAATTCCCCTTGCAGAAGGGCTGCTGACACCAGCACAGTTACACCAGTGGCTGGCGTACATGTGTAAACCAGAATAGCAATGCCTGTGTTGGACATACCTTGCCCTTCTGCTTGGAAGCAGTGTGTCCTTAGATCATGCTGTTCAGTCTGTAACCCATTTTCCTTCCTCCCAACTGCATTACACTAGCTTCAATTTCATAGTAACCCACTATATTCCATCACCCGTCCCCATTCCCCTTCCATAAAACTTTGTTCAAAGCAGAAATCTCTGGGCTTTAGTTCATAGTTACCATATACATCCTTGTGATGTTTCTCTTGGCAACTCATCCCCATCTCTACCACTATGAGCCTTTCTCCAACTATGTATACAGAGATGTGGCTGCCATGGTCTCTGGAATTGCCTGTTTTGGAGACCCTAAGGGCTGTAAGCATGGAAAGCCCGACTTCTCCCCGCTTACTGTGGCACACCCCAGGAGTGTATCTTGGTAAGCAGGCAGGAGCTCCCAAGGCTTGCTGATCCAGGAATTCCCAGAGTGCACAGAAATCAGCTCCTCAAGTCCCTGGAGCACCTGCCTGGGGTAGCTGCAGAGCATAGGGAGCTCCAAGCTCCCTTTGGTCTCCTGCCATAAAATGAGTGGATGTCTACCACAATAAAGCAGCACAAATTGTTATTACTTTTTGGCATGACCACGTATTGTGGTGACAAAGGGTATGGATGACCATTTGCTTTTGCTTTAGCCACCTCACTTGAGGTCCATTTCCACCCCAAATGTTCTCCTAGCTAGAGGTCAGCTTCAGTTCCCAATGTGAAGCCATGTAGTCACCTGAAACAGGATAGGTGTTCAAGCATGGAGATGCCAAGTCAGCTACGGATGGGACAAGGAAAACAAGCTGGGTAGCATTCCAGCCATGCTTGTCATGACATTGTGTCCTCACCCTAGGGCCTGGTACTCCTCATGGAACGCGTGCTCTCCAGAGGCAATGGCCACAGGGCCAACCTCTCTGGAGGAATCCAGCCAAGATTCCCATATAGAGTCCCTCTGTCAGGGAGCAGGGGTGGACAGGGAAGAACAGAAAAACCACTATGGTTTTATGGAGCTACAGCTGATCCAGGGTGCAAACAAGAGAAGGTGACTCAATCCCTCCTCTCCTAGAGAAATTATGAGAGCTGACATGTTCTCAGGTTTCCTCACTTCAGGAAACCATCCTGGGAAGTTTTAGAAGCATTAGTACAGACAAGGCCATGATGTCCACTATTAAGAGAGATATAAGGTTATCTTCTTTGCCACAGATGTCCTCAGTGTGGCTGCCAGGAAGTCACAGGAAGTTTTCTGGACAACAGAACACAGAAAGACATCAGGGATAAAGAGTAACTGGTAAGGCTGTGCAAAGCTTCAGATCACGATTCAGATGCTGGAAGCTTTAGGCTTTCCAAATCAATTTGGAAAAGATTCAGCAATTCGGCCATAGGGTATAATGGGGAAATCAATGAAATATCTGTAACTTTGTTGTCTTTTGGCTGATTCAGCTGAAACTTGCAGAAATGGTAGCCTCTGCTGAGTGCATGACACGTACCAAGTTTCAAGGTGATAGGTGCAGGGGTTTGTGGGAAACTGCACCCCAAATCCTTGCACAAGCACCCATGTCGTGAGTTCTGCCTGACAGCAGCTAGGGGTGCAGGGCTCCAGAACCCCCCTACACTGATCTCCTCAACAGCTAGCAGGCTTCATGGCCTCATCAGGGGCTAGCATGCCTGCAGCTTTCACCCTGCTGCACCTTAACACACACTGTCACCCATGTTACGAGTTTTGCTTGTCCGCAGCTTGAGGTACAGTTTCCCAAAAACCCTGCAGTTTTCATCCCCCTGTGCCTTCCCCCCGTGCCCTCGCCCCCCCCCCCCCCCATGAGTTTTGCTTTCAAGACTTTGAGGTGGAGTTTCCCAGAAACCCCTGCACCTATCATCTTGAAACATGGCATGTATCATGCTCTCAGCAGAGGCTATCGCCCCTGCAAGTTTAATCTGAAATCAGCCAAAAGACAACAAAGTTATAGATATTTAATTGATTCTCCATTATACTCTATGGCTGAATTGGCTCCAAATCTTCTGAAGCGATTCGGCCGAATAGAATTGGAAAAAACGATTCGGATCTCGAAATCGAATCTCTGGCATCCAAATTGAATAGTTCCCTATTCACACAGGCCTAGTAACTAGATCTACCAATTTCTGCCCTCTCTACAGCAGCTGCTGTGCTTGCACAACAAATTCAGACATAGCCAGAACACCATACTACTGCAGAAGCCAAAGTGTTAACAAAGAGAGACCTCAAGCATTTTACCATCATCTCATCCAGACTGTATCAGGACCCCTACCACAGCAGTGCTGCAGAGCCTGCCAAGCTGATGTTGGACAAGTTTCTACAGTCCTGTGGCTACTGTTAAGGCTGTCATCTGGTGGTGGCACTTTAGGACTCTGAAATTCGCACACTTAATTCCAAAGAGCCTTGTGCAACATTTCCTTGGCTAATAACAGATTGGGAGACAGAGTGGAAAGGAAATAAATCATCCCCATTAGTGCCTGACCTAAGCTTTTTATGCTTTACAGAGAAGGTGCAGGATCAAAAGAGGCCATGACTGGATCAAGCTGGGCCCCAGCCCAAACATATGAAGCTAGGCAGTTATTTAGGGAATATCACTTACAACATCTCCTTCATCCTCTCTAGTTAACTAAATTTCTTTGGTAAATGCTGGAAATACTGCCAGTAACACCTATACACATGCTGGATATCTGCTCCCACATGTGTCAATTGGCATGTGTGGAAACAGACCTGTTTAACTGTGTCTGCTGGAGCATGTTTATTAACATGCTCCAGCAGCCTCCATAACAGGTGTGTTCAGTGTCCCTGCACTTCAAAATGGCGGCAAGGGGGTTTTAACTAAAATCAGTCAAAAGGAGCTTTAGTTAAAAGCACCACTGCCACCATTTTAAAGCGCTGAGACACTGAATACATGTGACACTGCAAGCACTTTAATTGGAGCAGCTCTTGGAGCCGCTTCAATTTTAAAAAATGCACCCCTCCTGTTTGTGTAAAGATGCCTTCATGACTAGGCAGATCCTGCTTGCCCCTAGCCTGCAAATATTGTACACACAGAAGCCTATGAGAGTAAAGCAGGGATTTTCATGTGGAAGAAGGGTCAGCTTTTCAAAGGGCTGTATTCAGGACAGGATGAACAAGATTGAATAGATGGAGTATATCAAAGATGTAGCAAAGCAGGCATGATATAATGGGCCAGCTCTCCATTCTTTACTAGGAAAAATGTTCTAAAGGAAATTGAAGGCAAGAAAAAATTAAGTAGGCACAGAGAAGAGACCTTTACTAGGAGACCCTGGACTACAGTTACGTGGAGGCAGCATAGTGCAGGGTAAAGGATAAGCTGGATGTCTGGAAGCCTCTTGTTAAATTTTCCATACATCGGTAGTTTGGACAGGTCTTCAATCTAACTTAATACCTCTTTGAACAGAGGGTGGGGGTGGAGAAGTGGAGCTTTTGGTAGGACAGAGGGCAGATGACAACTTGTGGATTTCATGTGCAAGTCCTACCTGAAAGAGCAGGAAGGCCAACAGCTGGGTTGCCTCAACCTCCAGGGAAATCTAGGCCCTTAGTTTGAATGGAATCAAGTTCTTAGTTAAGGCAAACACCATCCCTGTTATGAGACACTCCTGCTGGACCCTACAGGCACTTTCACATGTACTCTGGGGTTGGGGGGAAAAGGGGTGCTTTAATTAGAGCTGCTTTAATTATAGCACCACAGCATCTCATGTATTAGCACCGCTGAACTTCAAAACAGGGGTGGGAATGCTTGAACTAAAGCTCATTCAATAAGCTTTAGTTCAAAATGGTGGCAGGGGGGCTTGAAGCATGGGACCACAATGGGGGCACCGATACATAAGATGTGGAGGCTGCCTGGAACAGTAATTACCATTCTCCAGCAGACTCAGTTAATTGAGTCTGCTCCACAGCACATCTACAGGCACCCTAGGGTTTGCCCATTTTAGGGATCCCTCCACAGTTTAGAGCCAAATGCACAGCTCAGACTAGTTCTTCACTGCTGCCACACAACTCACTATACTGTACTCCCCGCACCTGAAGACATCTGGCCACAACCCAGATTGCAGCCAATCTCTTTTCAAGAGAGCAGGCAAGACCATATCAGCCTTTCAGGCCACTGAAAGTGAAATGCCACTGCCCCAAACCTGCCTATCAGCAACTTAGGGATGGGTCTGTTCTTTTTATATTCCTGTAGCCTGTCACAGGATCAGATCTACTTTTCCTGATAGACCTTTGTCCAACCTGTTCTTAAAAGCATCCTGTTAAGACTACTCTACCACCTTCTAGAGAACCTGATCCACTATTCTGTTATTCTGATATTTAACCTAGACTATTTTTGCTACAAATTAAAATATTTTCTTCTTGCTCTCCATATCCACAAGGGATAAGTCTATTGGCCATTCTCCTCATGACTCTCTTACATACTGGAAGACATTAACCTCTTCCTCCGTCCTGCCTGTCCCCAGGTCTTTTCTTTTCTAGAAAGAGAAAGGTCAGTTCTTTCAGCTGTTCTCCTAGGTCCTGTTTCATCAGCTGCTTCTTCTGGTTTCTGTCCTGTAGACTCTCTCCAACCTACATTTGCCACCCATGTGGAAGGCTGACAAATTAAGCCATCCCCACTCAGTTTGGGCAGTGATCTAGATAGCAATGTATTCAACTCTCCCAGAGAGACAGGACCCAGGTGACCCACTAAGTATCAAGACCGTCACAGGTGCCTTTGAGGAGGAACCTGTAGGCAATGAACCTTATCTTTTAAGAAACTCAGCTGTCTTGCATTCTGCAAGCACAGCCAATCAAGCGGGCGGGGGGGGGGGGCTCGTGGCGTCGACCCGACCGAGCGAAGCGGGGGGGGGGGGGGGGGGGTGGGTGTTTGGGAAGATGCACCTCATCCACTTTCACCCTCAATTAAGCCATTATACTGGTATGCCTTCATAGCAGCTGCTGAACTTATTAAGCACTCCCTTCAGTGTTACTGTACAGGCACTGCATTCTTACTGTATGGGGTAAGTGGTGGGAGACAAGGGAGCCACTTATCTTATTGCTCATTCAAACCCCAGGCATGGATTCCAGATGCTTCAGCAGTTGCATTAAGAATCAGTCAGGCATAACTAAAGAAGCCAAGCCTCACAGCAGTGGAAAGGTTGCAGCTCACCCACCCTATGCTAACTTGCCCTTAGCCCCATTCATTTTGATGTGGCAAGAGACACACCTTCCTCACCATCTCTATTGAGCTGAGCCCAGATCACTAAACATGTCCCTTCAAGCACTGGAAAAACAGAGTGCTTAAGTGGGGTGAGAGAGAAAAAAAAGCCAGCCATGTGGAACAAACACTAAGGTGTGGCTCTTCATACTCTCACCCAAGGTAATAGCCATGGGGAGTTGCTGACTTCTCCCTCTGGTCAATGAGAGGGCTCCCAGGCTGAGTAGCTAAGCCTTAGCCCCAACAGGTCAGGGCTCTCAATAGCTTGAAATATGCATTTTTCATTAAAGGGGACTGGGAGTTAAGAGTTAGTGGAAAACAGAAGCCTTGAGGAAGGAAATAGAGAAGCAGCTTCTACTAAAAATATGTAAGGTAACTAGAGCTAGAGAGAGATGCAAGTTTTAAGCCAAAACATAGACTAACACATTGAATTCTGTGAACAGTCCAAGTAGTGCATTTACAAGCATTGTTTCATCATGAAAAAGTCATTGATTTAAGTAATGCCCAACACGGTAGCTTCATCCCCCAACCTGCCACCCTGACTCAACTGAAATGCACCCAGCTCCGTGGTGAAACAACTTGTTTTAACAGTATTCCAGCATGGGAAGGTTTAGAAGAAGTACAGGAAAGCCAGTCTGTGATTTCAGCAAGGAGACAGACAACCTCAAAGCATAGGTCTTAATTAATGCAAAGAACACTATTAAAAAAAAAAAAGAGGAGAAACTGCCGTGGAATAAATCTCATGAGAACGCTGGAACACCTAATAAGTACATCCTAACAATGAGGGATTTAGGAAATAAAGCTAGAAGGGGAAGATGGGAAGAGGGAGAAAGATTTTTCCTCTGATTAGCTCAGTTGAGCCACAACCCCACTTTAGGCTTCGCGCCCCCCTCCCCTTTCTCTGCAAAACTCACTGCCTCCCCTGACATGCTTAGTAGCACAGTTAGCTCTTTATCATCTTTTTTTTTCCAAAGGAAAAAGAGAAAGACTATCCCCCCAAGGAGCAAAATTAAAATAATGATCTCAAGGAAGCAGCCTGAAGGTAGAAAAGAAATCCTTAATAATCCCCTGCAGTTAACCCCACACAGTCACTAAACTCCTACTCACTTAATAGTGCTTCAGGACTAATATAAACCATTAAGCATGAAAGCTTCAGTCTTTGTATAACAGATACTTGTAGCTCAAAAACCTCATTAGAGGAAACACAGCAACCAAGGCAATTAACTCACCCTCCTTGCTGTGCTGTTGACTCCAACAAAAATCCACACACACCTGTAAAACACAGCAGCTCCCTCCCTTCTCAGCCTGATCTTTAAAGGGCCCAGGGAGCTTGAGAAAAGCAGTTTGTGATTGGTGGGGTGCACATCACGTGCAATGGACCTGTTCCTAGCCAAACCTGTTCCTCTCTTGGGATGGGACCACAGTGTCTGTGTGATGCTAGGTTGCGCTGGAATGCTGTTGTACTGAAAATGCCAGCACTGAGGGGTTACTATTTTATGTTCTATCAGGAATGAACAAGTGACTCACTCCTAAGAGATCTTTGAACTTTAAAGATGATGGATAAATTAGTAGCACCTACATATGACTAATAAGTATTGATGAACTGTTACTTTCATTAGTATTTGTGTCTACAGAGAGCATGTCTACAAAAGAGGGGAAAGGAATTTTTGAAAAGGGCCTTCACTAAGTGAGGATTGCAAAGGGTAGGGGAAGTAATCCTAATAGCTCTCTGCTCCATTTCTTCATGTTGTATTGAGAAAGCGGGTGGCAAGTTTGCTTAGGGTGGGGTTTTACATTTTTTTTTACTTGCTTGTTTTTTGGGTCCCCCTATTCAGGTATCATTTCCCCTAAGAATTCATAGATTGTAAGGCTGGAAGGGACCTCGGAAGATCATCGGGTCCAGCCCCCTGCACCAAGCAGGAAAGACAATTGGGGGGTCAGTTGACCCCAGAAAGGTGACTGTCTAGTCTCCTCTTGAAGACTCCCTGGATGACAGGAGAACTAGTAGTATCAGTGTTATGACTTCACACATTGACCCTGTCTTCTGTAGGCATTTCATTTTGCACACTTGGCCCTAATCACAACGTGGAAAGGTGTGTCAGTCTTTCCAGTCAGGCGCTGAGAGCTGGTCAACTGAGAGGGGACAAGACTGAGAAACTTGTGGGACAAAGGCTGTATCTCAACTTCTTTCCCCTGCCCCCATTCCATCCCAATTAAAATTTGTGATCTCCATTATTGATAACACCAACAGGTCTACTGCAAACTCTTGGGAAGATGAGACCTGACCTTCTTCATGCTTTAAGACCAAACAAACAGATACAACACTGGGGGAAGAGGAGACTCTGACCTTTCAGCTCCTTTTTACAAGTCAGGAAGTAATACCCCCAATAAAAAATATTTACTGGCCCCACTTAAAGAGCCTTAGGGAAGTCAATGAGGATTGTGGAAGGTCCAGTATTCTAGAAACCACCCCTTCAGGTATCTGACCAGAGCTGAGAACGTGCCAAAGAAAAGCTGGGCTCCCAGAGAATGTATGCTAGAGTTTACATTGAATGCAATTGCATTCTGGGGAAGGATTTTAGGTTTCATCTGAGTTTGGAGAATCCTTTCTACTGCTGCCACAAGAGCTTGCACTGAGTTGTCATTAAGAGGAGTAGAAGAGGACCTAACTGTACCATAGAGTAACTGTCTCTGTGACACACAGGGTACATTGGGCTGCAGACAGCTGGGGAAAGGGAGGTTTTAGGAAAGAGTATTTGTCATTTGTGGTGTTATGGTGTGAGATGGGCATTTCCTGTTGTGGTTCCAGTGCCTGTTGGAGAAGACAAAGTCTCTACCTCACCAAAGGAAGGTTCCTTGGTAGGAGAACATCTTAAGGGTAGTGGTGAGGCTATGTCCGTCTCAGAACAATTCATCACACTATAGAGGGTATTGACACTCCCTACAGTGATCTGTCCCAAGCCCAGCTAGGTTGGCTTATTTCACTCTTCCAACGTACTAGAAAGAAAATGTGTTTCATGAAGTCTAGTGGGTGTGAGTCTTCGCGGAAGACTTCAAGGGCCATACACATAAACCGGTTTAAGTGATCAGAAACTGGTTTAAACTTGTAACAGAATAGAGGATCAGTGAACATAAACCAGTTTCAAAATGGCTGAAACTGGTTCAAGATAAACCTGGTTGAATGTAGACTTAATTAGAATGTAGACTGAGTTAGACTTAACTGATTTGGGTCAAGCTGGTTTATGAAACTTCTGTCCCAAACCCCTTCCTGGTTCAAGTTAAATCACAGTCTCCCAGCATGCTTTCCAGCCCTGAGCTGGGCTCTACTGTCTGCTCCACAGAGAAGGACTGGCCCAAGCCTGGCTGGGGATACAGCTCAGTCAACCCCCAGCTGGGGTCTGGGGCCAGGGAAGGGGTTAACCACCCATTCCCCCACTCAAATTTACTGCTGGCTGCAAGTCTGGACTACAAATCCCAGAGGCACTTGGAAGCAGTAAGAGGAAGTGATGAGCACCCTTGTAGAGTCCTACTGTTGTGATTGTGGACTGGAAATCCCAGAGCCCTCGGGGAAGCAGGAAGAGGAAGCAAACACTTAGCGCATGCTAGCTGCATGCCAGAGAGCTGTACTCTAGTGCCCCCATCTTCTGGCCTGAGCCACTGCAGGCATGTGACTGCATTTCCTGAATCAAAGGTAAATGTCTGTCACTTCTGTTTCAATTTAATCTGTGCAGCTTAGACAAACCTGCAAAGACTGAACTGATTCAGCCAGGGCTTTTTGACTGTCTAAACTTAGTCCAAAAGCCTATGTGTGATCTTCTCAGCTGGCTGTTGAGGATGCCTAGTGGTGACTAAGGATGCCTAGCTGTAAGTGCCCCACACGAGGCAGTGTATGCAGCAGCAATTGAACATGGGCTTCCATCTGTTGGCTGCCATGGTAAGATGGTTTGCTATAGCCCAAGAGGGGATGCAGGAAAGAAAAGGGTGAGAAATGGAAACCCCATCTCTTTCCAGAATAAGGCACTGTACACTGGAAGTCTGTCTGAGGAAAGCAGGTGAGGAAAGAGCCTGTCAAAGAAAAAAGGTGGAGAGGTCAGTTTTTTGGAGTACCTGGGCTTAACCAGCCAGTCACCAGCAGGAAGAGAGGCTTTCAAGAAAGCACCTTCTTGCAGTTGGTATAATCCTATTCCATTCACAAAGTGTCAGGCAGACATTTCCTGGGGTAGAAAAGGATGCAGAAGGGTGGGGTGGATGGCATTCGCTCCTTTGCTGTCACAGTGGTTTGCCTAAGATAGAGAAAGCTTTCTGCTGAACTGGCTCAGCAGGCCCATTGATCAGATTAGGAGAGAATGCTGGTGTCAGAAAAGAGGGCGGCAGAATATATTTTTTTAAAGGAAAGCTCAGTGTTTGCTTGAGTGCACATGCATGCAGAGGCATGTACTTGCATAAGGTAAGTCTGTGCTTACAAGCAAATACTTACGCACCTGTAGACCTAGACCTGTACATGCCCATATGTTCACATGAATGCATACAAATACACACCTAGATACACAAGTCTATATGCATGCCCAGACCCATATTTACATGTCCAGATGTAGGGACATACATCCAGGCACATAGGTACATGAATTTCCAGGTGCATGCTACAAGCACACACATGCAGACCTATGCGTACACATGTCCAGGCCTACACACATGCAGACTCATACACATGTACAAGCATGTGAATGTGGATACATACATGCTCAGACCCTTTCATACACACACACACATGCAGACCCACACATTCACTCATGGTCTATGGGCATGCAAGTGCATGCATGTGCATGTACACAAATGCACGCACACACAAATCCCTGAATACGCACCTGTCCAGATACAACCCAGCACACAGGTTATTTACTGGGCGAGGATGTGTGTGTGTGGGGGGGTGGTCATATAAATTTGGAATTAACAATAGTGGTTGAAAAAATAAGAATTAACTAGGTGAAAAATGTTGCAAGTGCTTTCAGTTTTGTGGGGTCCCCTCCATTTTTATGACATATTTTTCCCATCTTTAAATGTTTTTCTTTGTTTTATAAATGACAGGGAAACAAGATTACATTCAATTTTAAAGGAGAAAGCCAAAGGGAAGAATTGAGCCAAAAGAAAAGAGGAAAAAGGAAAGTAAAAGGAAAAATGAAAATATCTGAAAAACTACTAACTAACTAAATGTTTTTGTTTCTGATTGTCATCTAACAAAATAAAGAGCTTTGAAAAAATATTTAAAATCCTTTAATAATTAATTGAAATCTTTTTTTTTTAAAGCCATTTGTTGAAAACGTAATTTTTGGGGAAAAATGTCAAGCAGCTCTGTTAACTAAGGCTGTTACACTGTGAGTTACACTGTGAGTTACACTGTGAGGAGGGGATGCCAGGGTGTGGGGTGTGTACAATGTATTCCTTATTGGGGGGATGCAGAAGAAAATTCACTGACCTTGGAAATGTCCTGTGGGAACATTTAGTTATAAGTAAAGGGTGCCCCAGATCATGGTGTTTCCTTGCTTTCTAATGTTTGCATTTGGAAGGACATCAGAGGTTGCTTGCAAGAAAAGGATGATTATAAACACCTCATTCAACCCAGTGGCTAGTACCCCAGAATCTATGCATTTTGAACTACAAAGGGATGAACTCCTTCACACCCTCCTGCTCCCTTTGCTTCCACGCCATGAGATAAGCAGTGATTCAGCATCCAGAGAGAGATTGCACACGAGGAGAACAGACAGCACCAGCCAAACTATCTGGACCTCATGAGTCATTCCTACACCTGCATCCCTTCTATGTCAAAAGAAGATAAAGGCCCTCCTCATTTCCATGCTGTTGACTACACTTTCAGCTTTGCATGGGAAGAAAACAGGTTAAAAATCTCACATGTTACGGGGACATCACTTGGAGAGAAATCCCAGCCCTCAGACTTCATTGGCTAGGTACACTGTGTTTTATTTTTCTCCATACATTGCATTTGCCTTAGATCAGGGGTGGGCAAAATGTGGGATCTGGTTGGCAGCCGGATTCCATTTCCCAGCAGCCCCTGGCTGCACGGCTGGGGCTGATCACTATGGAGACCCAAGCCATAGCTGCGCTGTGATAGCGCAAGGCTGGGATTGCCATGGAGACCAGCCCCAGCTGTGCTGGAAGCGCAGGGCAGGGGGCTGCTCCAGAGCTGCTGGGATCTTGGAGCGGGTGCAGTTTGGTCCAGGGCGAGGGCAGAGCCACAATCCAGCCAAGGGCTACAGGCTGGAGCTCTGCCCTGGCCCTGCAGCATGCAGGCTACAGATTGTGGCTCTGCCCTGGCCCTGGTCCATGCTGTCCCCCCT